TATTTAATGTAAAAGTTGCACTATAATAAGCAAAGAGGTAATGGTGGGTGTGAGCTGGAGAAAGCCTTATAAGCCGGACTGAAGCTTCGCCAGCAGTGACACACACCAAGAGACCCAGAGGGCACGAAAGAAGGCTGGCCATTGGTCTCAGTTCAGCACCATGCTGCCTGCCCTCACTAATGTCCACACCATTCAGAGAAGTGCGAACATCAACAGAGCTGAGATGAGGAGAGAGGGAGCTCATTCTTCCCAGCTCAGTCACTAAACGACACTGGGACTGGGTTGACTGCAAGAGCTCACTGCACAAAGGCTAGAAGCTCTAGAGGCAGCTAATACACTACTCTTCTAGTGTTTAGAGTTGAGGGCTTGGAAGGGACAGAGCAGTTAAAACACTCCTGGTATGTTTGGGCCGCTGTCTGATAATGTAGGTGCCAAATAACGCCCGGGCTAATTAACACCAGTGACTGAGCCACCAAGCTAGCAAAGGGCTGCAGCTGCCACCTCCTGCCACTTCATTTGCTACTGTAGTTACAGTATCTACAGCAGCATTTTTAAGAATAATTAATGAACTGGTCCAGCAGTTCTTCCCCACCCCACCATGCATCCAACATTTCAAACAGGCAAATGAACACAGAGCAGGATACTTGGTCTATTTGCTTTCATGTGCTATGCTGTAATGTTGCATGTGATGAACAGTATAAAAATAAAATAAATCAAACAACAGCCCTGATTTGGCAGGAGGAAACACAAAAGCATATTTCTGTCCTTGTTAGCCATGGAAGGAGCAACAAGCAGCTGGTGGCCTATGCAAAGAATGGCCCAGAGGGGCCAGGCACAGGTAAGGCGCTGGTACACTTCACTTCCCTGTTGTCACAGCACAGTTGTAGTGATGAACAGCACTGAAAAGTTCTGGAGCAGCTGTCATTTCAGTTAGTGCAGGGCCTGCAGAAAGCACACTGTGGTTCCACTATCCCAGCAGAAGCATGTTTCGGGCCAGCAGTTTCCAACACACACAGTTAGCTGGGGGTCTAAAGCTGCAGTATTTGACAAGCTAGCCTTGGTAAAGCTGGGTTCTATAACAGCCTGAAGCCTTGTACAATCGAGCAAATACATTTTGAATTTCTGAGTAATACTGTATATGCAAACGTACTGAGGAAACACAAAGGGGGATATATACTGAGGTTTTGCGCCTCATTTTCTGGTGCTAAACAGTGAAAATGTGTGTGTCCATATGTGCTAAGGAGTCATAGTGAGGTTTTGCACCAAAGAAACAAAAAAATATGTGGCACTGCAGGAATGTGTATGTTTGGTCTCATGCAATATGTATTTTAAGGCGTCCCCATTCAGGGACACAGTAATCAGCGAGGAGAAAATGGAAATGTATACAAAAACCCTGAAAACCTCACGTACCACCACTGTGACAGAGGGAACTGCGGATGAAATGTAACATCAGGAGAAAGCAGATGTAAAATTTGCAGCACTGATCTCAGCGGGGCAGCTGTTAATAATCTGAGATCTCTTTGGAGGATAGTCGCTGTAAACATAGACTTTCTTCTACACGTCATCTTGGTCCACACGTGCACAAAAGCCTTCAGGCAGCAGCTCTGAGGTGGAGGTGTTTTCAAATTAACACAGCTGTGACTGGACTCATTTACACTGTCAGTTTTTTGCAACAAGTTTAGTAAATAAAAAACCAAAAAAATTCTGGATAAACCTCAAGCACAGGAGAATCTTGATGTGCAGTTTAACTAAACTAGGCTACATACAGTATCTGATCTTGAACTGAACACACACAAGCAACAAAATGAATAAAAAAAACTTGAAAACTAAAAAGGGAACGAGAAAGAAATAAGAAAAGAGACAAAACAGACAAAAGACACCACCCAGACAGGAGGATTAAATAAAAGGAGAAGCTAAAACATTTAGATGAGTTTTAGCTTATGTTATATTGATGTTTATTATATTTTATCATCATGTTTGTATTCCTTTCAGTATGTTTAATCACTGTTCAAGCTCATTTCACAGACATATTAGGACTTGAACACCATTCTGGAAATGAAGGATCTAATAAATCTATGAGCCACCCTACTGTATCTTATGAGGTAGTCAACAGCTCAGTAAGGCCAAACCTAACATAATTACAAAACCCTTTTAGACCTGTGTCCAGGTTGTGGATCTAAAGCACAAGCAACAGGTAGAATAATGTAGGCGAGATCATAAACAACGTCGCTAAAGCCCTCCCAAAGAGTACATAAAATAGTCCGTGATACAACTAGCAGTAACAAATATCACTCTGTAACAACAGTTTGAGACATTTGGGAATGTGTGTAAATTTTACAGGCATTTAAAAACACTGATTTTTAAATGATATTCACACACAAAGAAACTACACTTAGAATAAACCTCCATGGAAACCCACCGCTGAGTATCGACTGCAGTCCACACCGTTCTCCTCCAAACAGCTAAATAAAGAGTTTCCAACTCAAACACCAACACACAATACAGCTATATAATGTTTTCAAGGAAAAACCCACAGTTATCCATAACTGCACCACCAAGCTCAAGCACTACTTGGTGCATTCCCAGCTCATCCCTCCTACACAGAAGCCGAGCGCTATGAATAAGCTCCCCTCAGTTTGCCAGCTCTGTAGATGCTGTTCTATCTGCGCTTTCTGGAACAATATTACAGTCCTACAACTCACTAAGTGGGAATGCTGCCAGTCCATCTCTAACTTACATTTTGTTACACGTGGACCAGCAGAGAAAATGAAGATTTGAATGGTCCAGTAGAATGTGCTGTTTAGCCTAAAACTGTGAATGTTTATGTCTGTGACTTGTGACATTTTCAACTTGCGAGACACAATAAAATAGTAACAAAAGAAGTTATGTGATTTTAGACTATTAAGAGTCCACTTCCTTAACACCCTTGATAAAAACCCAAGGTAGAGGGCTGAGTTTGAAATGCACAGTTTATATTATGTGTTCCATTTGCGATGTAATGTTTTATGCAGCAGTTAAATTTTAACCCTTTGCAGCAAAGTGATTTTTAGTGTTTCAATTTATTTATTTATTTTTTGCTGTGGGCCATTTTAAGTTTTGTACCTGACCCCCACTGTCCTGTAATACACATGCACATAAACTGGAATAAGTATGCTAGCTCATAGGTCCACATGGTTTATCAGAAGCCCTGCAGCCTACATTACAATGGTGAAGTTGCTTTTATAAGCTCAAGGCAACGTGGATAAGACATTTAAACTAATGCCAGTTCAAGATAATACGAAATATTCAACAGTCGCAAATTAAAATAATGCATCCTCTGACACCACTGACACTCCACAAGTGCTCAGTTCTGGTGTAAACAGTCTACTGTGAGGAATCCAGCTGACACTTTGCATTGCTAGAATTAAAGAATGAATAAATGAGCAGACAAGCAATATAATTTCCTTGCAAGTCCCCTGTCTTATCGTTAGATTTTATCCATGCCATTTAGTCAGCCAACCACAGTAAGCGTTAGAGCAAAAAGAAAAAGCACAACAGTGACAGAATCTTATCATAAAGACGATTTTAACACGATCAAAAACCAACAGCAAAAGAAAAGTGGTTAAGGAGATTATTAAAGAAATGTTCAAAAAGATTGATGAAAGAACTTTAATATTCTTTAATGTACTGAAATGGAATTTAGTAGTGAGTGATCATTACTCAACCTTTTGTTAAACTTCCTTTGTACTGTAAAGCCTCAGAAAGGCAACATACAGTATTGTAAGGTGAAAACATTATTATGGGACTTTATCCTTTCATAAAACACACACACTATACTGTACTCTCCATGAATACATATTATTATTATTATCACTGTAACACTAGCCATTAGTAGCCTGACACCTTAGATGATAACATCAGAGAGTCTATATATTTATCTTTACTTCTTTTATTAACTGTTGTCATATACACTCAGCAGCCACTTTATTAGGTACACCTGTACAACGCTGTGTTTATGAAGCTCAGAATGTTTTGGTTTTTGGTGAAATTGTCATAAACGTAAAAATTCAATTATATGTTTATTACTGAGGTCATAGTTAAAGGTGGTGTTGTACTGGACTACATTACATGTTGTATTCAATTCAATATAATTGTACAGGCGTAATTAAAGTGGCCACTGTGACTCTTGTTTACAGAAATATGTATGCATTTTAAGCGTAACCTTCTAGGCTGTTCAGTGTTCCACATGACCTCAACGTCTGCCTCTTAGTTTCTGTATAAGGAGCTATGCAAGTTTAGAAATACCATTAAAGGTAACTATGTTAGGCTAAAGTTGGAGTATAGCTGCCAGGAATTTCTCTTGCTAACACAAATACAAGACAAACCCAACTCTTCTTTGTGAAGATTGTATCATATGTCGATGCCGTAGTATGTGCAATGTTCACCTAAGCTTGTTAAGTGAATTGCCTAAATTGTCCTGAGTGTTTTTCAATAAGCTGAATACAAAAGTCAACTGATTCCTTTCAATTATGATTTATCTACATCATGACAAAACTTTCCAATCTAAATTTCATTAAAATATTCTAATTTTGTGTCATTTTTGTTTACTTTATCAGACAATAAAACAACCTTCCCAACCTTTGCAATGTCAGAGCTTTGATAAATCTCACTTTATTTTGTTCAACTACTTTGTCAGTTTGAAAAAGAGTGGACCGTGCACAAAAATGCATATCCTTTTTTCATTCAACTGTTCTTCTGATCTGTTAGAATGTCCACTCAAATTAAACCTGACACTGTTCTTTGACTTTATAATAACTGTGTCATTCCCTATCTAAGAGAAATAAGTATTCAAAGCCTAGATGTTAAATGAAATATGGTGCTGTCCAAGTGTAATCTTTTTGTTCAGAGGAGGTAGATGAGTAAAATGGTTAGGCTACACTCAAAGTGTGAGGATCAGAGGTTTGAAGTGAAAGAGGGAAGACAGAAAGGGGTGGGTTGGGAGTGAATAAATAATTTCAAACCTCATTTTTAAGTTTCCAGGCGATGGTTGTCCATCATAAACTGATACAATATCAAAGTCTTCCTCCAGAGCCAGCGTGACGAAGGTTAGCTGGATCCGGTTCCTCTCCCCTGTTATTATCAGCCATGTACAGTTGGCGTAGTTGGGATAGCCGTGGGGGAAACCAGGCGATTCTATGGTGCCATTCAGGCCTTGGACTACACCACCACAAGATTCAGCTGGAAGAGACAGATCACATCATTAGAATATCAAGATCTCAGCCTTCTACATTGACAGTATATCATTGAGATGTAAGCTCATGTCTGCACTGCACTCTACAGGTTTCCAAGAAACAGATTTTGTCACTTTTAGTATTTAGCCTCTTAAAATAATTCTGAACCGATTTCAGTACAAGAGAGTGAATGCAGATTCTTAGAATTGTGATGAAAGCCTGGTTCAGGCTACACGACTTAAGTCCAATAACAGCCTGACATGACGAACACAAGCAGCCAGCATCACACACACTCTTCTCCCACTACCTGGCACCTCCATGTCATGAACCATATCAGGCTGTGATCTATCGGGTACCAAAGTGTAGTCTGTCATATCCCTCGACCAAGAATTTATGACTCTATACCCATCTAATCTGACACAGTGTCTACTGTATCAGACAAAATGAATAAATAAATCATTTATTTAATTAAAAACCAGGCATTGGACCTATTTTTCTTCCACCCTCCCATGCAGTGGATTGTGTATTTAAAATAAAACACTGTACAGAGCTTAGATTCTTGTCTAGTTACTAGTTTAAAAGCCCCTGTCCTCACATACAGAACATGCTTCACGGTCTCCAGTGACACTATCCTATATGACACGTGAAGCTCTCATGCAAAGTGGCTGAATACAGTATTTATATTTCAGAGTGCTAACCGTTTAATCCTGCAATCAACTGATCTCAGAGCAGAATTAACCTCTCATGACACATACACTCATAAAGCATGCAAAGAAGATTGCAGGTGTTGTTTTAACAGCATGTGCCATATAATCACACCGGTCACTCATTAAAATCCCATGACACTGAACAGTAAAACATAAGAACATGCAGTCATAACACCTTGTACTGCACAGCATTTAGCATGTCCTCATAGTCCAAACTAAACAGAATGTTAGATGAACTTGTACACACACACACACAAATGCATTCATACAAACACCAACCTGCTACTAAACCAGCTCATATGCATCTATTTTAATAACAAAATGGATTGTGGAAAAATCATGTTTTTAAAGCAAGGCAAGGCAAATCTATTTATATAGCACATTTTCCTTCACAAAGGCAATTCAAAGTGTTCAACACAATGTACACAGATCGATAAAACAACAGATAAAACTTTCTCTGTGCAGAGAAAATGCACAGAGAAAGAGAAAAGCATTCAAATAAATAATAAAATTAACTATAAAACATTCAGGATGATATGCCAGAAAGTTCATTTTTAACATTTCTGCAAATGCTGCATGTCACTCCATACAGATTAAGTTCTTCATTAAGAAATCCTTCAAAAATCTGCATGCATCTGGTAATATATAGCTGAAGTATTAGTATTATGCTACTGAAATGGCTCGTAATAACATCAGAAAAACTCACGGTCCTACAATATAAATGCCTCTGTTGATCCCTCATATGATCAGGTCTAGAGGAGAAGTGCTTATACACTCTTCCACCACCTTTATTTTATACTCTGCTATTTGAGTAGAATTTCGGCACTTGACATTTTCACAGAATGTCGCTGCTGAATACATGTATACCTGTATGAACACATCACAGGAAGCACAGTTGCACTGACATAGAGAAGAAGTGACTCTGGATGATTTTTGAAAATTTCATGAATAGGTTTTAAGTGTAAGGTTGAGTCAGAGGAAAAAATGAGAGACAATCAATAACAAAGCAGCTTTTAAAACTGCCCAAAGGTAACAAATCAGGTGAAAACTATTCATGTAACTGTAGAGGACAAAAACAAATCAGAGTCAGCCAGAACTAAACAAGAGCAGACCAAAACATCCCAGCTAAAATAAGCTGAAAGAGGAACTCCAGTGCTAGCTACAGCAAAACAAAGCTGACCAAATTTAAGGTTCAAGGTTCCTGTATTGTCATTCTATGCATTTGACACATGAAGAATGAAATTAATCACTTAGGACCAGCATATATTAAATAATAAATATATTAAAATAATAATATGAAAATAAATAAATACACTCTAAATGATGAAACCTAAATGTAACAACAGCATTAAAACAAATGGACATCATATTTAAAATGCATCAGTCCATCAAAGAGGCCTAGGATTCATAATTCTCACAGCTTCTGGTAGGAAACTGGATTTAAGCCTGGTGATCCTGGCCTTGATGCTCTGCAGCCTCCTGCCTGAGGGAAGGAATTCAAACAGTCTGTGTGCTGGGTGTGTGGGGTCACCCATGATAGAGGAGGCCCTGGTCCTGCACCTGCTGATGTAGATGTTCTCAATGGAAGGCAGACTGCAGTGTATAATGGTTTTTTGGGCCGATTTAATGACCCTTTGCAGCACCTTTCTGTCAGTGGCAGAGCAGCTCCCGTACCAGACTGTGATGGAGGATGTCAGGATGCTCTCCACCACACACCGGTAGAAGGCTGTTAAGACCGGAGTGTCCAGGCCAGCCCACTTGAGCCTCCTTGGTGGGCCTTCTTTATGATGGTGGCTGTATTAATGGTCCATGTGAAGTCCTTAGAGATGTGAAGTACTTTATGCTGGAAACCCTTTCCACAGCCATTGAGATGAAGAGAGGAAGTGGGGTGTGGCCACTCCTCCTGAAGTCCACCGCCATCTCCTTCGTCTTCCCTGCATTGATGCAGAGTTGCTTGCCCTGCACCATTCCACAAGATTCTCCACCTCTCTTCTATACAGAGACTTGGTGTTGCTGGATATTAATCCCACAACAGCCATGTCGTCTGCAAACTTTACAATATGATTGCTTTGGTACCTAGCTGTGCAATCATAAGTAAGTAGCATGTGGAGCAGAGGTCTTAGGACACATCCCTGGGTATTACCGCTGGTATTAAGCATGATGGACAAGGATGAGATACCGTGGACTTTAACTGTCTGAGGCCTGTTGGTCAGAAAGTCCAGGACCCTATTGCAGAGGGATGACTTTACACCAAGCAGCAGGAGTTTGCAGACTAGAGTCTGCAGGATGATTGTATTAAATGCAGAACTGAAGTCCAGGAAGAATCACCTGATATAGGTGTCTCTGCTCTCCAGGTGGAGAAAATTTTATTTTAATTAACCCTGTAAAAACTAACCAAAGAAACGTTAATTGAAAAAATGCCATTATGTAAAACAATAAATAAAAGGATTTCACTGAAAAAAACAACAACTGTTTCCTCAGCTGCACCAAAGGCACAACAGTATAATATCAGGTAAAAAAGCCAAAACACCCAGAAAAACATTTTAAAAAACTAACTTTTTATACAGCTTTACTTATACTAAATCTACTAGAATTTACATGGCCAGCATGAAAGCCAGCAGTAACTGTTTCTCACATAGCGATGGCTATTGATTTATTAACCTTATATTACAGAGAACCTCTTCCCTCTTTCACACACAGGCAGAAATGTGCCATGCACTCCAGAGACATCTATCTACTAGGTCACAATCCAGTTAACCAAATGCTAACAAAATATGTGTCTCAGATCAGAAGTTGCCCATTGTACACACACCAGATGTTCTTGTTTGTCTGAAATAACACAGAATGCACACATATATAAATACCTATACACAAGCCCAAATGGACAAGCTGGCAGTAACAGTGATGCACACATGTACATGTGCTCATACACACGAACTTGAAACCATCTGGAGTGTCTAGATTAATTTCAGATTGTTCTCCGCTGCCTTTCCAACCCAATTCACCTCTCCCCCTCAGCCGTCTTTGTGTCAGTCTCTCATTCTGTCTCCAGTTGTCTCTCTCTATCTGCGGTCTCTTCAGCTGCCAGATCCCCCTCTGCCTGCTTTTGAGCAGATGGGATAAGTAGCGTTCAGCAGATATTTGCATCACACCGGATGCCATAACGTAGCACCATACTTGGGGCGTTTCAATAAAAAGTGCATGCTTTGCCTCTCTGTTGACTTCTTCCCCTGTAGTTTGCTTAGATTTTGTGTTTAGAGTAGGATTTTTTTTTTCTTCTGACTGGAGACAAAGTCTATTATCCAGTGTCCAGTCCTTCTAACAGCTATCCATGTGAGCAGGACAGCAAAGCACTAACACATTTGGAATGTATAACTAATCTATACATCACTGCCATTTGTTACTCTTGCTAACACTCACAAGGACACTTCAACATGTGAACTGGAGAAGCAGGCAGAGTATCAATAAACCAGTCCTCTAATTAGGGGACAAGCCGCTCTACCTCTTGAGCCACAACCGCCGAAAGAGGAGGCCAGACCTGGTGATAATGCTACACCAAGGGAACAGGGAATGACCATTTTTTTTATTAATAACAACCCATGAGAAAATGAAACTCTGCAACAATCCAAAAGGCAACTCTGGCTCAGGAGTTAAACAGGGTCGTGCACCAACCATAGGGTTGGCAGTTTGATCCCCGGCGTCTCAAGCCCACATAATAATGTATCCTTGTATCCTCCACTGAGTCCCAAGTTGCAAAATATTATAAAGCTCTTACGTGTACAGAAATGCACTATAAAAGGACAAGATCCTTCAAATCATTTCATATGGGGCCTGTAAATATTCATTGCTCATTGTCAGTTAATTCGATAGTTGGTAAGACATCAGTCTGGACCAAAGTGGTGGACCTGCAAACTGCAAATCAAACGACACTGTCATGCCCAGACACACACAACTACCAGAGTTAATAGTGTTTTCCAGGGGGCAAACATCTAACACTGTTCATGGAGGCCACCAATCAGCTGATGGCCAGCGACCTGCATTATAACGAACAATCTGCTTTTAAACACGTACATGCTGTTTTCACCTGCCTGGCACAAAACAGGAACTATTGTTTAACTATCAGACCTTCTCAACTAATTTGGTGGGAAAAGGTTTGGGGGACACATCTAAATCTGTGCAGTTTCAGTCTGCTGATCTGTCTCGTTGTCATGGTAACAGATTAGAAATAATGTAGATATTCCTAAAAACACAGCAGGAGTAATTATTTGTTTTTTTCCCCTGTGCCCTTCCTCCTCACCCA